ATCGTTAACCACACAGTGCCCAACCATGAAGCGATACTGAGAAGAACCCTCAGATATAGCCTATCGCGTTCACACTCCTTATTGGAGGCTTTTAATTGAGAGTAAGAGTGCCGAATCTAAGTGTGGTTTTATATACAATGTGAATGTGATCGGGTACTAAACGCAAAAAGCAGGCAAACTTACCATTTCCAATTTCTCCTTTTCCTTCATTCTTCGTATTCTTCGTTTACTTCGTATATAAGGTGAACATTCCATCTTAACCCTTAGATGATTGATTATACTTCGCGTTTGTATTACATGTATTACGTAAAATGGATGATCAGCCTCTGAAATCAGGTGAAACGAGCAATATTTATCATACTGTTATTGCCCACCAAGTAACTCTCACAACGCTACTGCCTGATGATATCAATAGACATGACATTATCCCGAATATGCATATCTGCAGTCCAACTGTAGAGTATGTTTATGGCTGGAGTTCTTTGAAACGGAAGCCGGGTTTAAAAGAGCCCTAATGCGTATCTGTCTGTTGTATTTCTACACTTTGTAGAACGTTTATGGCTGGAGTTCTCTGAAACGGAAGCCGGGTTTAAAAGAACCCTAATGCGTGCACGAGCAGTTGTATATTCTGGGGATGTCTATATATCACAAAACTCGCAAAAAAATAATTTATTGTGGACTATTTCACCACCGAAAAGGTTCTTAGGTGAGTCCGTGAGTGTTCTATTATATTTTTTTTTTTACAGAATAAGTCACTTCTCACATGACCGGTCTAAGCTACAATTGCGAACTTGAGTTTATTGCTTGAAGTGTTGCAGGTAAGACAATATTCCAACTTATCTTGGGAATACAATTTTGCTAATTCAGGATCATAAGGGAACTGCTTCCCATTTTTGTGGTACCATGAGCCATGTAATCCATAATTTCCATGTTTTCCATTGCAAATAGGGCATGGTGAGCTCCACGGCTGAGTTGATGCAAAATTATAATTATCAATCCCTCTGAAACTATTTCGGAATTTCAGGTATGTGAAATGCTCTAACACAGATTTGATAATTAATTCTGGATCGGGTCTGGCTTCGAAAGTGATGGGCCCTTTTTCTTCACATTGTTCAGAAAAAGATAAATAGGATACTTTGTTTTCTGGCTTCGAATTTATGAGAAGGCTGGTTTCTGATGCATGCGCTTCTGATAATATGCCATGGCTCATACCCAGTTTCTTTTTATATTTTTTGTATAAGCTATACCGAATCCTATCTGTCAAAACACTTGGTAACCCAGTTAATTTGGCATGCCAATCCAGATATTCGAAAGTTAGTATTTTATCAGTCTTGGACATATCTTAATTTTATATGATTGCGAGTCAATTTAAATCCCTTTTTTCTCATATAGACCTATTTATTCGAAAAAAAAAAAAGATTAAAATTCCCAGATAGATTATCACCCCAAAGAGTTACCCAGACTATTGTAAAGCAATGAGACTATGCAACTATCTCAATTTCGCGCTGTTCACATTTAATATAGTATGATCCAGTTTTATATTTACCTTCTATGTCTTCCTCATCATCATGGTCTAACTTGCATAAAGGACATAATATCTCGGCAGTAATTCCGTAATAATCAACATTTTCACTACTGAATTCATAATATAAATCAGGATATTGTTCCAATGCTTTATTGCGGAAAATAGCACGGTCGTGGCTCAGATTATTCTGTTCTTCAGGTAGGTAAAGTTTTCTTTTCAGTTTCAGGCGTAGATCCTACACTCACCTTTACTTTCGAGTTGGGAAAAGCACCAGAGGCTTGAGTCTTAGTTGGCTTACTTACCTTGGCTTCTGAACATTTCTTCAAATCTTGATCGTTTCCTTGGAATGGTTCGGTCACGTGCGCGTGCGCGTGAAGATTCTTCACGCCGATTATTGACATTCAGTTTGAAAATCAACAATGGAGTTATCTTGCTCGTTAATTAATTCTACATTAGGTTTCTCAGATAAAAGATTTATTATATTTTGAATTTGAACACCAGTTAAACTAGAAATAGCGTCAGCGCTATATGTAATATGCTTGATTTTATCTATTCTTATTTCTTTGAATAATGTATAAATATTTCTTGCCTTTTGAGTCTTCTTACGCAAATACTCTCTCTTGATACCAGGAAGATACGGTTCCATTTCATTGTAAATCTGTGTTCTTGCCATTTGATTATTAATTTCATTTTCTGAGCTAATATCTCTGACCTTTTTTTCGAATTCCTCACTATAATAATACCAACGTAAAATTTCAGTTTTTTTAGCCTTGTCGAATAAATGAGCTAAATGTGATGCAGATCCCGAAGTCTCACGAAGTGAGGATGTTTTCTCATCTAGATCACCGTTTAGCATATTTTCAGCTGTGCTGACTCCGCCAAGAATTAGTTTATCAGATGTAGAATTCGAAAGGCTTTTTTCATTAGTAAATACAGATAGCTCGCGTATTAAACCTTGTTCTACTTTTTGATTATAGGAAATTTTTACTTCGGAAGAAATAGTTTTTTGGTCATGGGTCAGAGTGGATATAGTATCTTGGGAAATTTCGATTGTAAGCTTCGAAAGTCAGTGAGCTCGAGAATCTGAAATCAGAGGCTATATCAATACCCGTAGTTGGCGGAAACGATGAAAAAAATATGACCAAGTATCTGCAGTTATTGAACCTAGCAAAAATCTCAGACAATATTTTGTACGCAGAAAAAGTATGGATCAAGCTAAAAAAATCGATGATGATATCTCGGCACAAACTAGCACTTTTGGTACTTGCTTCGTTAATGATGAGATTACTGAACTACCAAAAATTGATACAGAGGTTAATTCCGAAGTAAAGGATAGAACTAGCATTAGTGAAATTAACAAGGATGATATACTAGATATATCGATAAAACCCAATACATCACAGATTATATCTGAAAATGTGACTCCACACCTTATACAACCGGATAATAATATGTCCGCTTTAATTGAATCGAATTCTCAGATGAGGCCTAGTCCCGAGGCTTTGCCTCTTCCGATAGGAGGAATAGGAGCGATCCCTGTTATGACAAGCACATTGATGTCACCTTTATCAGCATATATTTTTCTTACTCTGTTAATTATTGCAGTTATGTGGTTCGTGGTATTGAGACGTACATGGAATATAGGTAGGCTCGAAGAGTCATTGCTCCGCGGGCCCAAAGGGGCGACCCTAAAAGGGTCATAAAAAAAGTGATCGGCCATGGGATACGTGGTTCGGATAATGAAGACTATCTATTTGAACTTCATCACTTGATTCTGGATATTTTATATAAAATAACTATTAGTTTTTTTCGAACTTGAGAGAAAAAAGAAAAAAGAGCGCGAGAGTATGGACGAGATCGCTTTCCTGGAATACAAACGAAATTTTGAGACTAAAATGAAAGTTCCTACTACTCCACACAAAAAAGAATTGAAAAATCGATCTTTGGCTCTTATCGAATATATATAACCTAGACTAAATAGTCATTTCCGGAGCCGAGAGATTGTTACATTCAGCTAGCTATACATTTTAGGTAAGGGGATTTTTGTCGTCTCTTACTATTACAATAAGTATAAGAAAAAATTCAAATAAAAAATTAATATTCCAATACCTAGATCATATAAGGAGTTTTTGTATCGTATGAATTATATTTATCAAAGCGGGGTTTTGGGTCACGGTGGCGGGTCCTGGTCATCTGATTCACATGTCCGTCTTGTAAGTGCTTCCGATATATAGAAAAAAATTGAGCTTTTATGTATCATTAGGTAGATATTAGCAGAGCCAGCATGAAGTGCTAAAAAATGATACGCAAAGGTTATCAAAAAGTGATATACAAGGGTTACAAAAAAATTGAGCTGGCATGAAGTGTCAAAAAAGTGATACGTAAGGTTATTAAATTATAATCCATATGCGATATATAGTAGTGCGATCTAATTTTTTAACATAAAGCTAAGTAATCGAAGACACCAACTATACGAGATAGGTTTCCAAAGCTGAAAAATATAGTAAACTTTTGGTGCTACGCAAAGGCAGAATATTATAAGGAAAGAGGTAAGAAAAAATTGTGCTTTTACGTATCACTAAAAAAGAAGAATCGGATAGTAAAATTCAGATATCAAAAAAAAAAGTGATACGCAAAGGCAGAATATTATAAGGAAAGAGATAAGATAATTTTTGCTTTTACGTATCACCAAATAAGTGATAACAATTCGACACTACGTGCCTCAATCTTGATCGATATTCGAGTGCATTATAATAGTTAACAATTCGGCACTACGTGCCTCATCATTGGACGATATCGAATGAATTATACAAGGCTAACAACTGCTAACATTCGGCACTACGTGCCTCATCCTCGGGTTACCAAATGGGAATAACAATTCGGCAATACGTGCCTCATTCTTGGGTGATATTTGAATGAATTATGTGAAGCTAACAACTGCTAACAATTCGGCACTACGTGCCTCATCCTTGATCGATACTCGAGTGCATTATAATAGTTAGCAATTCGGCACTATGTGCCTCATCATCGGATGCTTTGGTGTATTACCAGATATGTTAACGATTCGGCACTACGTGCCTCATCCTCGATCGATATTTGAGTGCAACATGCAAAGCCAAATCACGAATACTATTTCGGCACTACGTGCCTCAAACCTGGCCCTCATCGAGGAATCAACCAGAAAGCTAAGGCACTATGTGCCAGGTTTGGGCATAGCCCTCACATCGGCCCGCAAATGACGACACGCGATTGAATGTATCGTTAGCATTTTTTTTTGCCCGTGTGAGCCAATGACAGCATACATTATATCACATGTAGCCTGATACATAAAATGCGCCACCTTAGTGCGTGTCGTAAAAAGCGGAATACGCGTCACTCGAGTGCGGTCTAAAATGCAAAACGCACGCCATACTGGCATATGTCTCAGCGGATTTCAATTGGCGATACAAATGTAACCTATATAGCACCCATATGTAGATTATAACTATCCCATCTTGGTGTTGTAAAAAGCAAAATGCACATCACTCGAGCGTGTCGTAAAATGCAAAATATGCATCATTCTCGGGTGGGTTATAGTCCATAATAAGTGGTATAATTAGAGTCTGTACAGACTCTAATTATACACTTGACTAAAAGTTTCATTTACAAAGAACAAAAGGAAAAGGCCTGCAGAGAAGGTGGTCATATGTCATCTCTGTTCTACAGTGGTTTCCATGGTGAATGCAAAGATGAAGCTGTGTAAGTGTGTAATGACTCATTTTTGGCTTTTGAAGTTTGTTGATTGTATTTGCTTGTTAGATGTGAAAGTGATGCATTGGAGAATATGGCAGAAGAAATCCCAGATGAAGTTTCTTTTATCATTGTTTCCATTATCTTTCTTTTTGCAAAATTACAGTATGTCAACAATTTATTGACTGACATCATAATAATTAAAAGGATAGTGAAGGTGAGACTGGCCAAATTATAGCCAGAATACTATTTTCACAAACCGTTTTCGTGGCTGAACAAATTGGAAGATTAATTAGCTTCATTCTCGGCCTATTGCTAAATGGCATAATTTGCTTAATCATACGGGAGCCTTAACTCAAACGATGAAGTGACAATCCATAACAAAACTGTCAGCAGAGAACAAAATTTACCCACAGAAGATAAAGAACCGAATCAGATCCAAAATTTTCATTTAACAAAATGGCGTTTGAAGTTTATAAGTTGTTCAACAAACAAAAGGCCATTGCTGCATCTACAATAAGATATTTTTATCTTTGACGCGGAAAAAGACTATGGAGGCCAACGTTGGATTAACAAAGAAAAGAGGGAAAATGTAAACCACTCAGATGGAGACAATGAAAATAAAGAAATAGATGATAGAAATAATGTTATTAATAATAGCAATGGTAAAAAAAAATAACAAAATTTAGATTTTCACCAGAATAGGTTATACTCATCGATGGCTTTGGGTCCGAGTATTTCTTGCAGTCACTCTGGTGTTTTTACTACTATTTATATTTTCTAGAGCGCACATTTGTAAATAGCCGATTTTGCTATTTACTACGGAATTATTTGATTGGTCAAAAATTCACTCCGTATTTTGGATCGGGTGACGAGTTGGTGAAACTCATATATTCTGCAGCGCTTTGTATAACTTAGATTTCGAACACCAACTTGATCACTTGATCGTAAATAGTGATAATTCGCGAGTAGATGTCTGGG